ACTCCAGATTATGTGTTTGTCATTGTAACTTACCTTCAATTGATATGTTACAATGTTGTCCGAATAAGTCGTGTTAACTGGAAAATGGTAAGGGCTTTCAATCGCGAAATCTTTTTTTGATATAATGTTGACTTGGAATTTGCTAAGGAGCAGATATATGCTGTTGCAACTTTCTTTTCTTTCAGAACACTCTGAACTCATAGCTGATATGATATCTTATTGTCGAAGTCACCATTAAAATTGTATACACAAAGTGATGCATATCTCTACGTAGGTTAAACTGATCATATGTTTTCTTCTCAATGTGGAAAGTACTAACACTATTTGGAAATCATGAGCTTCTTGATCAGTTTTAGATTCCATCCGGAGCTATTTTTGGGCTAAATATTGTAGGCGAATTGTGGTTATTTATATTACATGAACTCACTTATAGGTGAGTATCTGATATAAGCACATCTAATTGCTATCTAGTACATCAAAGTAAATAAAGAGTCCATGTAATCAGGTGGCTATTTAGGTTTTCGCATTATACTTAATTTGAGCCTAATATGGATAAGAGTTAACTTTGCTTACCTTGAAAATTAATTTTGATGATTTGAATATATAATATAGGATAATTATGGATTACGGTGACAAAAGTTTGATGAATCTCCTAAGATGGACAGATGAGTATATCTGTGGAGTGAATAAAATTAACTAACAATAGTGATTGATGATTATCTTTGCTTTGTACTATTGTGGAGTGAAAGACCGCAAGCAAATTGTGCTAAATCAGAACAATCAACCCATAGGTCCTATTGATGAAGAGGCAAATGAGTTGGGTAGCTTCCTCGGTACATTGGCAAGGAATGCAATCTTTTGTTCTCTTAATGTGTTTAATTGGAGGAAACTTGAGACAAAACAAGATATGTGGAAATATATCAAGGTTTGAAGTTCACAATATTTAATAGGTACATGTGGATATTTCATATTGTTTATACTACCCTAAATGCATTAAATTTGTAGGGAAAATGTGACATTCATGAAGATGCAAAAAAGTGAGTTTTTCAATCAATTCAAAATGCTTGGAAAATGTATAAAAATTAGTTAAAGAAAGACCATTTTGAACCCTATGAGAATGACGAGCTTCGAATGGAGAATGAATCCAGGATTACGGGTTGATCCTAAAATGCTAGCTTTCAATGCTCATTCACCTGGAGAAGCTTCCTTTGCACAACAAGGTGCTATGCAACTAATCAATCGTCTATATCTACTGGGACTAACAATCAAGGTCAGTATATACTCCAAATGTTACACCCCTTCTGTTGCTTTTCTACCACTGCTCGCTCTCTCTCCGTTCTATTTTTTTAGAGGGAAGTTAGTAAGATGGCTAAGTATGGTTAGTTTAGTCATTTTCTAACTTTGCCTCCGGCCCTTTATCGTTGCGTAGTGCTGTGGTTGCCTTGACGGCTCTTTGTTGTTGTATACTTGCAAAGAAAGATGCCACCTTTCTCATTCTATTTTAGCTCCCAATCCCTGCTTAGCCAAAAGAAACAGAGGATGTCATCTTGAAGAAGTATCACAATGATCAGTCCTAGTGTTTTGAATTTTTTTAAAGAATATGATCTTTCAAAGTAAAACAAAATCTATGCAAATGTCATGATGCCTTCACTCTTGTTTCCTTCAAATTGTAGAACGTGCGGGTTCATAATGCAGTTTCTTCCCAATCTATTAGGGAGAATTCTACATTAAATAAGTATTTACAATTCCAATCTACTAAAATTCTCTAAAAGACTAGTTGTATCCGGTAGTAAGTATAATGTATCAAGATTTAGGCTTCAACCACTCTCATTCGAGGAGATTTTACTCTGTATACATGTTCTTCTCCTATGCATTTATCTACCTTAACAATCCAATGTCCTCTATTTTCCATCCCCTGAGCCGTAACCTTTTTCGCCTTTGTACCAATTCTGGTCAGCAGCAGCCCTTCTCCTACGAAACGTCCTCCTGTTTGTTGAGCTGCCACCACCAGTGCAAGGGTGGTGGAGTCTGCAACATTTGCACAAGCAACTACCATAAGTTGTACATTATTTCCTGCTGCGAGCGCGGAGATAAACTCTGCTCCGTTTGGTTCTGTAGCTCTCTTTCCCTGAATCAGATCAACATAACATTAGTGACAACTTGAGGAGAAAAAATCATTTGAATTGTATATCAGATTGCAGATATGATAAGTTCATAATTGTACTTACCATGTTCATGGTTTTGAGAAAAGCTTTATTGGCATTTTCAGCCGACCAACAACCCATTTTCTGTTTCTTTGTAATTTTCTCTTGATATTTTTTTTCCATTTTTTGAAAGAAGCAGAGAGCTAGAGATGTATTTAAGCCTGCTTGGGTTAGTTTGGTAAGGCATCTACATTTATATATACGGCAGGTAGAACCTATGTCCATGTGGAATTTAATTAGTAAAAATTCTCAAGTTGGTGTTAC